TGTGTGTTTGTGTTTGTTTGTTTGTTTGTTTGGGTAACAAAAAATTTTATTCATAAAAAATTAACAAAAAAAAAAAGTAATTGAAGTTTTAAAATAAATAAATCAAATGCAAAAGATTTTTTTTCACAAATTAAATTTCGCTGTATTCAAATGAATCAAATTTAACAAAAATTTATCAAATTTTATTATTTCTCATTCTTTTATCCACTCTATTCTTCCTTCCTCTCTCTGTCATTTTCTCTTCCCCTTTCTATCATTCAGTAATAAATACGAAAAGGTTTATTCACTTGTTAGGATTAATTCATTTGAAACAAATGTTATCCTTTAAGCTTTCAAACTTTTTCATAATAAGCTATTTGATATCAGCAAAACTTTCGCGCTCAAATCTCTCCTTCCTTCTCTCTCTCCCTCGCTCTCTCTCTCTCCTCTCTCTCTCATAATGTCATACTACTTTTTCACACTTAATAATGATTTTAATAAATATAACTTAAAAAATGAAAAATATCTATGTAGGTGAAGCACGAATTTCTTCAATAATAGATGAAATTTATTGCAATATAATAGAATGGAATATATTGGAATATATTGGAATTGAATATACCAAAATGGAATGGCTGAGATATATATTGGAATGGAATAGCATAGAAAGAATAAACGGAATATCTTTTTTTTTCTTTACTTTGCTGGTGTGAAATGATAGCTAATGGATGGTACAGCATATTAGAATGAAATGAAAGAGTAAAGGTACCACATCAGGAAAAATAGAGCAGGAATAGAATTATTAAAACAGGATAGAATTGGAATAGAATAAGACTGAATTAGGGGTATAGAATGGGTGGAATATATTGGAATAGAATTGAATAGAATAAAAGAAATATTGGAATAGAATTGAATAGAATAAAAGAAATATTGGAATAGAATTGAATAGAATAAAAGAAATATTGGAATAGAATTGAATAGAATAAAAGAAATATTGGAATAGAATTGAATAGAATAAAAGAAATATTGGAATAGAATTGAATAGAATAAAAGAAATATTGGAATAGAATTGAATAGAATAAAAGAAATATTGGAATAGAATTGAATAGAATAAAAGAAATATTGGAATAGAATTGAATAGAATAAAAGAAATATTGGAATAGAATTGAATAGAATAAAAGAAATATTGGAATAGAATAAAAGAAATAGAATAGAAAGAAAGCAATGAGATATATCGGAATGAAATGAAAAATATTAGAGTGAAGTGGAAGGATGGCGTGAAATGAATGATATTAGAGGAGATAAAAGCCACATCTGGTGATGGTGGGGTAGTAATGGTTGAGATCAGATCGGTCGGTGGGTATTTGTGGATGGTTTGCTTGCTGCAAAATATACTGCAATTCTTTGTTTGCTTGTTTACTTGCTTGCGTGCTTTTCTGTTTGTGTGCTTACATAAGCAAAAGCCACATAGAATAATCATCAAATAAGCCATAGAATAATGTTGGATGTTACCACATTGCCATCATTCTAATTCAATTCAGATATCATCACTGCTACTACTGCTGTTGATGATATCTGATAATAACAATGATAATGATGATAATGATAACGATAATAATGCTGCTACTACTGCTGTTGATGATATCTGATAATAACAATGATAACGATGATAATGATTACGATAATAATGCTGCTACTACTGCTGTTGATGATATCTGATAATAACAATGATAACAATGATAATGATAACGATAATAATGCTGCTACTACTGCTGTTGATGATATCTGATAATAACAATGATAACGATGATAATGATTACGATAATAATGCTGCTACTACTGCTGTTGATGATATCTGATAATAACAATGATAACAATGATAATGATAACGATAATAATGCTGCTGCTACTGCTGTTGATGTTGATGATGATGATATAATGATTATATTGATAAATAATGAATAATGATTCTTTGTGTTTCATATCTAATAAACTGTCAGGATGTAATGTTGAAAAGCAAAGAATACATATGGGATTGATAGAGATTTTGAAGATGAAAAGGAAATTTACACAAAGATTTTTGAGGTTTAGCTTTGTTAGCTATCGAATATTTACGATACTTTTTGTTGTTTTAAAAATTTTTAAATTATGAGTGATATAAAAAACAAATTTGATAATGTATATTGAATTAAATTTGATTAGCTTCCTAATAGACATAGACAGCAATCATCTTTATAAATCAAATTAATACTTATTATCTTGATAGTTAACTAAGAGAAATCTTATCAGATTAGAATCGGAACAAGCCAGATTAAATCAGATTAGATTAGATAAGAATAGTTATAAGTTTGATATATTTGATATTTATTGCATGACTTTTTTTTTTTTGTCTTTTGTTTTATCTAATCTGATAATATATAACTTTGTCATTTTGATAATTTCACTGAATTTTGATTTAATTCAATTTACTCATTTTTTTCATATTCTTTTTCTCGTCCATATTACAATAAACAATAAGCATGCAACTGATAAAAAATGATATAAAAGAATTGTGTGAAAGAAAAATGATTAAACGAAGGATTTTTAGAAATTAAAAAAAAAAAAATTTCTTTTTTTTTCCACGATTCATTGATTTGGTTTTTTTTCAAAATATCATTGTTTACAGTAATGATAATGAATAATGATTAGTAATTATTAATGATAACAACAGTGTTACAATGATTGAATTAGGTGATAAATTATAATAATAAATTATTTATTAGTAATACCATAAATACATACAATTGCACATTATTACACTATCTTATTTTAATCAAAATATAAAATACTATTATATAAAATGAAGAAAAATTAAATGTAGCATTATCAGTTAATATCAAAAGTACCATTCATATTCGATATTAAGCATCGATAAAACCGGAATGCATCAATGAAACCGGAATACATCGATGAAATCGGAATGATTTACATCCAGTTGTTATCGCTTCATATTAACATGATCATGATGGATAAATGTTATTTGCTTCCGGAAAACATTTAGATGATTGGTGTGGCTTATTGAAGTGCTCGAGGAAATAGTGTCAGTTGTTTAGCCATTGGTGTGGTTACGTCACCTACACACGCACGTCTGCTGCGGTATTACAACAGTGAGCCCACAACTCACACAACATACAATATATGTATATATTACACACATACATACACATACACACACATACATACACATACATACACATACACACATACATGTAGATAGAGACAGACAAACATACATCTGTACACAGAATGTGTAAAAACAATCATAAATTTCTATTCAATTGTTGTTAAACTGATAAAATTAAAAGTTTTAAAATTTTAAATGTTATCACATAAATTAATGAATTTCCTCTAAATTACAAAAGTTATTTTGCATTCATCTGGAAAATTATAATTGAAAATTATGGATTTTTGATTATATCTTAGAATGAAATTTGATTTATATAAAAGTTACATCAAAATAATTAATTCATTTTCCATTTACACTTCCTGAAAATTCTTTTTTTCTTGTCTTCTAAATGATTTTTTAGAGGATTGATGAGCTCAATGAACAAAAATAAACATCAATTACAATATCAAAAGTTAGCTAAGGTATTTAGGTAATATTTAGCTGTGTATATATTCATAAAGCTATTATCCTAAATCTTTCAGAAGGTATTTCCTTTTTTTGTAAATTTGAAATTTGAGTTTTTTTTTTTTTTTTTTGTTTTGGGTTAAGAAAAGAAATGAAAGTAAACATAAGAAAGTTTTGATTTCCTTCTTACTTCGAAATTTAACTTTAACTTTAACTTTGAGGTTAACCCCGTAGAGTATGCAAGGTATAGGTCAGAAATTTGATCGCTTTCCATCTTTTCTAAAATATTCTCTGAAACAGTTAAAAATTGCTATTTAATTCAAATCCCTTCAAATTCCCTTTTTTCTTTAACTTTCAGTGATTTAAACAAATGCTAATTGCCTTTCTTTTATTAATTTTATTTAAGTTATTATTATTGATATTATTATTATTATTACTATTATTATTGATATTATTATTATTACTATTATTATTATTATTATTAGTATTATTATTATTATTATTATTACTGTTACTATCATTATTATTATTATTATTATTATTATTATTATTATTATTATTATTATTATTACTGTTACTATCATTATTATTATTATTATTATCATTATTATTATTATTATTATTATTATTATTGATTATTATTCCAATATTGTGATCATCTACTATTTATTTTCCTCATTTGTTACTCATTATTCGTTATCATTATCTGTTATCACTTTCCTCCATTCTTATCATAATATCGCATAGCATTAATTAGTTCATTGACTTTAATTGAATTATTTATTAATTACCAAATCAAATGGACAAAAAAAAAAAGGAAAAATTGAACAATTCAATTAGTATAGATCAAATAATAATAATAAAAGATCACTAACACAACCATTTTTATGATAGATTTTTCCGTTCTCTTTCAAAAAAGAAATAATTGAAAATTTTAGCAAATCAACACAGTAAGACAGATGTAAAAAAAAATTTAAGTCTAAATTTTGTTAGTGACATACAATTTTTTTTTTAACAAAGTGATAAAATTTGGTAGCAAAAAAAAAAAAAAGCGGAAAAAACCTATCAATCAAAAATAAATTCACAAATGGAATTATACAAAATGTAAAAGTTTTACACTAAGCAAAAATGTTTGCTATTAATATTGCAATTATTATTTGTATAACTTTGACATAATAATGTATTTTAATGAAAATTTTATATTTCATTAATACTGCAGGCAATTCTTACATTATTTAGCAATTCATTGAAGTCTACTAAAATTTCAATTTATTACTCTAACTTATAAGAAACATAAATGAAGAAAAAGAAAAACTAGGATAAGAAAAAAAAAAGGAAATATGTAATAATATCAATAGAATATACTATTATCAATAAAATATATTATTATTATTATTATTGATAAACAAATTTAGACTTTATCTGAACTTAAAATAGCAGGACCGGAACGTTTATTCTTCATACGTCGATTCTGGAACCAAATTTTGATTTGTGTTTCTGATAAATGCAATTTTTGAGCTAATTGATATCTAAAACAAATGATATATTTAATTTCATTTATGAATTTTTTTTTTAAATAATACAAAAGAACTAAATGAAGGACTAATGAATGGATTAAAAAGAAAGAAATTAGTTATCAAAAATTAATTAAGTGATAAAAGTTTGCTCAGTAATATGGCTAATTACATCATAATTTTCTCCTGAAAATATATCTCAGATTTGCTTTTCATGCTATCTTTATTAGAATTACATCTTATCATGCTATAACTCTGATAATTATGATAAGTATATTAAATAATTATCAAATAGTGAAACAATACAACTGCCATGATTATTGTCAATAATTATAATCTTGGATGTAATAACTATGATAATTGAAGATAATGAAATATGATAAGCTAAATAAAATTGCGATTAAACATTTTATCAATTCTAAAGATATTAAATGTTGAGCAAATTTTTTTTTTTTTTATTTAACCTAAAAAATAATAAAGTATAAATGAATATGAAGGAAAAAAGCAAGTAATGTAAAATGAATGTTAATTCAAATAAAATATTTAACACTTTGGAATTCAACTTCCTTCTTTATCCTTTCAAATTAATGAACTAAATTTAAAATTTTTCATCATTTCCCATTTTTTATTTACACTTTTTGATAAATTAAGAATTAATTAATAAGTAAATTAATGTTATATGCATATTTAAATTCTAAAAAATAATTGGAATAAACTTATTTCAAATCTTTAACAACTATATATGTATTAAAGAAGTGACAGTAATAATCATTGGCTATTTTTTTTACGCAAGCTAATGCACTTATATTTTAGCCAATCAACATGTAAGCAAATAATTTGGTCAAAACAATAAAAGCAAATAACTTGGCCAAGACAATGAAAGCAAATAACTTGGCCAAGACAATGAAAGCAAATAACTTGGCCAAGACAATGAAAGCAAATAACTTGGCCAAGACAATTTCGTATTATTATTTTATTTCAAAGAGTATACGGTACCTTCTAGGCCGTGATAAATAACGAGTTTGAGCAAAATTTCGTTCAAGTTCAATAAGTTGCTCAGTGGTAAATGCTGTCCTTGGACGTCGTATTTTTCCCAATGTTTGCCATGCATTTACTGTAATTAGCAGTGTTAATTTGAAAATTTAAAAATTAATTAATTACGATAAGTTAAAAATTTAAAAACTAATCGTAACAGTGTGAAACTGAAATTTGTGATCAATTAAAATTCAACCTTAAATAAATAAATAACTAATCATTAATTATTGGTTATATTAAAAAAAGATTAAAAAAAAAAACTATTCGCATTTAATCCTAAAATTTAATGAATTTTAAAAATCAAATTTGCATATAAATACAATCAATTTATATGTTACATAATTTAAAAAAAAAAAAAAAATTTTTAGCTCTCTTTTTAAATTATTATGCTTTTTATTCTCGTTTTTATCTAGTCCTATAATAAACTTCATATCATTTATTTAACCAGCATAGCTAAAAATTTAATTTCAAAAATTGAAATCCTTAAAATAATTGCATCTTGTGTTTCAAAAAAAAATCACTCTAAAATAATTTCACTATAAAATTTTAAGTTAAAAAAAATTTAATAATAGAAAGAAGTGGGAAAAAGAAAAAAAAAAAAAAACTTTGACTATTTAATTTCATTCTTTTCATTTTATTTCATTTCTCTCTCTCAAATTACATATTTATTCTTAATTACAAATTCAATTCTCATAGATTCATTCTATCGATTAAATGATTTTATATATGAATTATAGTGTAAATAAGCTAACTTGTTAGAGCAATATGATCGTAGAGTAATGGAATGTTAGTGGTATGAAACATGGATGGATACGGTAGTTGTTCAATTAGAATTGGTGCTGCTGCCTCTGTCCTTGTTGTCGTTGTTGTTGATGCTGATACTGTTGTTGTAGTTGCTGTTGTAGGTGTTATTGTCGATGTTGCTATTGTTGTTGATAACATATATGATGGTAATGATGATGATGATTGCGATAATGATGATGATGATGATGATAATGATGATTGTGATGATAGCATAATTGGTGCGGTAACAGTTATTGTTGATGATGCGGTTGACATTAATGATGACATATAACTTATATTTTTCATTTCACAGAATGCTTTCATATCATGTTGATTTTTAGAAGAATGATGATTTTCAGGAAATAATGATAAAGAATTAATAGGATATGGAGATGAAGGAGTATTATTAGATAGAATATGAATTATTTTTCCATTTAATTTTTGATAATTTGATAAAGTGACCATATTTTGATGACTAATACTAATATTATTACTATTATTGTCATGATCATGATTAGCATTACTGCTATTATTATCATTATTATGATTATTGTTATTATTGTTCGCAGTATTACTGATATGATTATTATGATTATAATTATTATCATGTTGTAATAAAGCATCAATTGAGGTGAACATTTTAAAGTAAGTTTATGAGAGGACAAAAAGGCAAGAAAGAGAGAAACACAGGCGCAGTTATGATTGAAACTTAGAAAAAAAATGAATCCAAAATTGTCTCTTCCATTTTTCCATTTTCTTTTTTTTTTTTTTTTCAAATCATTTATTTTATTTCACTTTTTCTTATCCTCATCTTTCATTATTACTATTCTTTCTCATCCTTATCCTCCTTTATTTTACTTATCTCTTTTTTTTTTTTTTCAACTTCTTCCAAAATATTATTCATCAATACTAAAACTAACTGATTGGGTGTGGTTTGCTTTTCATAATTCAATTATTTTAATTTTTTAAAGAAATTTAAAACTGACAAAAAAAAAAAAAGCAAACAAATCCATCGGGAATTTCTCATCTCCTTGTCTTCTTTTTTCTTCCTTCTATCTTTCTTTCCCTTTCCCTCTCTCTCTCTCTCTCTCTCTCTCTCGTTTGTCATTTCATCTTGATATATTTTTAGAAAAAATTTTTTCTTTCCTTCTTTTTTCTCCTTTCTACTGTTTATAAAAATAATCCACAATAATATTCAATTCTGCTAACTTTGTTTTAAATATACATTTGAAAATTGATAGACAGTTAAAATGTTTATCAGTTAAAATTATAAAAAAAAATATTCTTTCCATAGGGAAATTATTGCTAAAAACTTTTAACCGTTTACTTTTATTTTTTTTATAATATAAATATTCATTGTCATATAAAATAAATAATATTATTAAACATTTTGTTTGTTTTCTTTAGAAAGAATAAAACTTTAAATAATTTGAAAAAAAAAAAGAAAAAAAAAGGAATAATATGTAACAAAAATTGCATTTCAAATAATTTAATTAGAAGATCAAAGTTAAAAAAAGAATATGCGGGAAGAATGAAAGAAAAAGGAATGGAAAAAAGAAAAAATTATTATGCAAAAAATTAAAATCATAAATCAATTTTTCCTTTCATCAGAATAAAATTCATTCAATTTCTCTTTTAACATGCAAACAAACACTTTGTTATTCAATTTCTTCTCTTTCATTTTCCGCTTCATATTTATTAATTTCTTTATTGAAAACATTTTTCGTTTCTACTTAATTTGTCATTTCAGCAAAGGATTATGGTAGTAGACAAATTTTCATCGTTTCAAATTATATTTTTCAAATTCATTTGGGAATTTCGGTACGTACTCTTTTTAAATGCGCTAAGTGCTTTTTCCTCTTATTTTTCTTCAAATCTTTTGTAATAAAGGAGGAAAATCAATTTTTAAATTTATTGCAAATAATTTTTCTTTTGCTTTTTTGTTTCTTGAAAAAATGGAAAGAAAAAAAGAATAAAAAATAAACATTAAAATTAAATAAATAAATGGAAAATATTAAATTTTGGAAAAAATACAAAATTAAATGATAAATAAAAAAAATACAAAAAAATTTGAATATTCTTTTTATTGAATATACTTTTTTTTTCTTCTCAATTTTAATTTGTTGTTTAAATTTAAAAACATAAAAATTCCTGGAATTTTGTATTCGATTTGAAATTTTTATGACAGAACTATAGATTTTTTTTTTTCATAAAACATAACTTTATGTTAAAATTGAAGAGATATCGCTAAACGGAAATACAATTTTATCAGTATATTATAATTGTAAACAAATGTAGCATTAATATAAAATCATTTTCACTTTTACATTATAATCTATCAACATATGACATAACATTATCACTTTTAATTAATTTCCATAATGTGTTAATTGGCAAATACTAACAACAGTATTGTTAATTGTACAGCATAAACATCAATAAGCAAATTATTATCATTATCAGCAAGTTCCATGATCAATCATTTTGGACTACTTTAACGATGATAACTATAATTGTTAACTTATTCCGTGAAATCTGCAATGATTAATCAGACTTCTAACAATTCTATCATTTAGTCTAAGTAATATTCAATCCAAAAGTATGCTATCACACCAATCACTGTACTATCGATAAGTCACTGCCCTGCTCATTTCATATAACAACTTATCACTTATTCTAGATGTAATGAGCTTAACATATAAATGCAAATAATCTTCCTTAATTTCATTATCTATATCAAATAATTTTCAAAGTGAAAGAAGTACTTCTAACTTCAAAATAACCTTTGAACTTGAAGATCAAATTTAAAAAATCTTTGTCATACATTTACTTTAAATACGAACAAAATTATTTATTTTTTTGAAACAATAAAAAAAGTTTATTTATTATTTTCAGTACAAACGAATAAATAAAACAAAAAAAAAAAAAAAGGAACAAATGAAGAAGAGAAAAGGAAGAGGGAAAAGGTTAATGATAAGGAGAAGAAAAGGTCATGCACCGTACCATACAGTGATGAATAATATAAACTTGGCACCGTTAAAGACTACTTCTTGGATTAGTAATATTGCTAATGATGGCAAGAAATAATTCAATTCCTTCTCAACATAATGTTTCCGATGATGTAAAAATGAAGAACAGAAAGGAAGAAGGACCAGATGAGATACAATAGAATTTTAAATTACAAATATAACAAAAAGGAAAAAAAAAAGTAAATAAACCTCAAAACGATTGTTGAGTCAAAAAAGAAAGATAAAAAAAAAAAAATAATTTCAGACGAAATAACCAAGATAAATGAAAAGAAAACATAAAGAAAATGATATATCAGAAATTCTGTTTCATTGGTAAGAAAAGAATGTTAGATCGAAGTTGAGTGAAACAAAAGCTGGAATACGTATGAAGCCTAATGAAATACACGAAATGGTCAAAATATAATATTCCAGGAGAAATTCGTTCACAATCTGTTCAAAACGGATACTTCATAACAAACTCAGGAAATCTTCACCATCTGAAGTTCGTTAAAATAAAGTTCTACAACCCCGAGGAAAAAAAAAAAAGTAGTCGACAGTTTAATTATACAGCGTTTAGTCGGTTCATTAATTAGTTATTAGTAATTATATGTAATGTAATAAAACTGAAATATATTATTGTTAATCGGAAAACCATTTCCATGGCATATGGAGATAAATTTTTAGATAAGGATATAAAACACAGAATGGACGTAAATCACTAAAATGTGGATGATCTTTACTTAAATCACCGCCAAATACTTCCAGTTTAAAAAAAGGAAAAAAAAAAGAAAAGAAAAAAAAAAACACAGTTTGAGAAATAGAAGTGGGAATAAAAGACTAAAACGCGATCAAATTAAGGAAATAAGCAGAATCCACAGATAAGACAGGAAATCTAGCAAATCTAGCAAGAATAACACAGCAAATTCTGTACGAAAAAAAAACATATAAAACAAGAAGGAATAAAAATATGTGTTAAACTCGAATGATCCCATAACCAACAAAAAATTGAATAGAAAAACGAATAAATTATAGGGGCAGGAAAAAACACTGCCGAAAGAAAAAACTAAAATCTTACAATCTGATAAGACAAGACAAATTCATAATGAGGAACAGACTGAAAATGAAATACAAGATATAAATGTCTTTAAAAAACTAGACATACGAAATAGCCATATTAGCCTAATAAGGGTATTATCACTTTAAAAATTTTTATAAAAATATAACTGGAAAAAATGTAGAATACATTGCTAGGGATTTTACCACAAATTTAAGTCGACCGTTCTAAATATCAAAACAGTTCCATCACTCACAAAATGCAGAATTTTAAACAAACTTTGAGGTGAGCGTACAAACTTATAAAATATTTCGCAAAGTTATCAGCTAGTCAGACCAAATGTCAGCTTGTTTGGTCGTCTTTCTGCGGTCCTTTGCTACGACCACGGAGTCCACTACCACGGTAACGATCGGATCTTCCTCCTAAAAATATCGAAACTTTGGTCTATTAATAAGAAAAGTGACTGAAATGAAAATTAAGAAAGGTTAACAAAAAAAGAAAAACGTACGTCCACCTCCTCTAAAATATGCGAGTGGCATTCGATAAACATCTGATGGTGCAACACAACATGCTGGTGGGCTTTTTCTCCAGTGCCTCAAAAATTATTGAAAACGCAATGAAAAAGTGCGCCTGCACAAATAATGTGAGAAAAAAACACATGCAAATACCATTTTGTGCTCTGGTTAATTTAATCTAACGACAATTTTAGTAAAAAATTTCACTAATCTATGTTTGATTTAGATATCGAATCGAGGAAAACTGAAAGAAGGATTAATGCTTGAAAAATCGAACGGTACGAAAATTTACCAGTCTCTTCGACGATTTTCTCTTCGTCGTTCTCTAATTCCTTCACTATTGCGCTGTTCTTGATGTTCCTCTACTGCAAATATCTGTCATGAAATGTCAAAATTCAAAAATGAAAATAGGGTGAAAAGATAACACATAATACTAGTATAGTATAGAGACAATTCAAAAATAGCCGTCATTTCCAAAATATGCCTTCTAACTTAGTAAAAACTTGTTTCCACATTAACATTTAACCGAGCTTGTTTCCACATTAACCGAACAAATATATCCCATAACAATGCAAGTTTAGAAAATGTTTCATTTCTAATCGCTATGCAAATCCAGAAACTGTTTAATTACATGCAAATTTGTTCATCCTTTTATAATCAGCAAACAATAATGGAATATTTAGGAAGGTGAAAAACAACAAGAAAAAATTCCACGTAAGTGTTAAACAATTGCTTGTTATAGGAGTACATCTCCCTAACATCAATATGACTGATCTACAACTCATAATGATATACATAAAAGAGAAAAATAACCTTTGGCTATATCAACTGATCGATTTGATTGCGGTCTCGACCTATTCACAAACTGCCGGAACATTCGTCGAATACGTTGATCGTCCGGTCGTAAATGATAGGGAACAAAGTGTCCATGTCCTGATCTTTGAACGACTGTAACTGTATCATTAGTAGTTTCCTGCCGTTCGTTTGATTCTTCAGTATTTCGTGATTCCTGTGATAAGTCGTCACCAGCTGAAGTATTATTTTGTTCCACTTCCACATTCATTACTAGCTTTCCATTTGTTATTCCGACTTCGTCCAACGTACTCATACATGGATCTTCGGGAACCTAAAAGTACTTTTGTTTTAACAAGTACATAGAATCTATCTTCCATATTCTTATTTTCTCTCCAGTAGTTTCATAGCTTTTTTCAGGATTCCTAAAATCACTTATAACTGTATGTGATGAACAACAGGAACACAAACTTGTTCTTCTTCAAATGGAAGTGATCGTGAACTAAAAGTGTCATCATTAGGTTCATTTGAATGTGTGCTCGCTATGGTATTCTCTTCTTCAGAACGGTAGGATGAATGACCGTTATTATCGATCCCTAAAACAAATAAATCTTCTACAATTTCAAATTATGAGTGACAATATTTTTGGATCCATCAAACCAAAAGTTTCAAAAGTCTCTTGAAATGCGAACTTTCGTCAATTTCCAGAGACTGTATACTGGGCCCACCACAGAAGTCAGCTCGATTGTCTGGGTTTGAAATTCCACTGGATTGTTTTGGTTGTTCATTTGGTGTCATAAAATAAGAACTAGAACTACCAACAGAAGTTTCTTGTTGACACTGCTCTTCTGCATGACCTGGAAGTTGTCGACGACGAACGGGTCTTTCAGTTGTAATCTAAAAATTTTGAAACTAAAGAAATTGAAAACAGATTTTAGAATTTTCCAAATTTGTACAATTTTGTTTTCAAAAACTTTAAACTCCGTAAAACCAAGAAATGAATGACCACCTAAGTCGTTCTACTCTCAAAATAAAACATTAAATGAGAATTTCAATTATGCAAAACCTTTTTATATCTACCTCATTATTTGCTGAATTCGAGGAACGTTCTTGATATCCTGGCAAGTCAGTACAGTCTGCAAAGCCAGCGCGAATATGATCTTCCAATAATATCTGATTTATGGTTGCTAGCAGTTCCTTCAAAATGAAGCGGTAAATTTAAATCAAATTCCAGATCTTGCTAGGAAAACATCCCAAACATCTCACGCTTTAATCTATCTTGAAAATTAAGTGCATTTATTTGCTTCAATAAGCAAAGGACCACAGTTCAGAAATGAATATCCATCCCAGATAAGTGAGAGTGAAATGAAGGCATGGAAACAGCATTCAATAGGAAATGGTACCATATCGACAACAATTAGGAGAAAGGAAAGAAAAAACCTTAGTTTCTTCAGTTTCCGGGCGATCGGGTTGTTTCATTATAAATATGAAATAAGTCATCAGCTTGACACGCAGTTTTAACATTAATTGCATATCCTGAAAGCAATTCCTGACTCATTTCCTTGCTGAGAGTAAGGAAAAATAAAAGGCGAGATAAGAAAGAACGAAAACTACACAAATTACCTTGAAATATAAAAATAAATACATCGAGCACACGCGAATTAAATACACCGAATTTCAAAAAATTTTTAATTTTAAAGGATATTTGATAAACTAACCTCAAATTTCCATCGAAAAACCAGCCATGGCTCAAGAGCAAAGACGCATTCGTCGGTGTTCGAATCCGTGTCTGCATCATCATTTAATGCAAATTCATCACCTAAAATTAATGAACAATTTTGCTAGTTTAAAATAAAAAAAATTCTTACGACAGAATGTCCAATATAAGAAATTTGTTTGTAATGAAAAAATTACATTGTCAGAAAAAATAATCAACTTGCCTATAGAGTAGTCATTCAGAACTTCACGTTTAAGATGAATTGGACCAGCAAACAACAATACAGATAGCGGTGGAACAGCGGTAACCGTTCGTAACTTAAAAAATTAATGGTTTGCTTCAAATTTTAAGTGGAATTTGAAGATTTTTAGAAAATATGGATTAAATTAGTAAACGCACTGAAAGAAAAAAAAATAACAGTAGCGTCAGCAATAACTTACACTTAAGTTATCACCAGTTTTCGACAATTCCTGAAAGGCAAGGTATTCAATAACCGGTTCCGGCTTCGCCAATTTTCCAACTCCCACTGCATTCATTCCATTAGATGAAGCCTGTCGTTTAACGGCACAACCATATGGTAATGATGCAACTTCGTTACTATAAAAATTTGAATTCTAAAAATTTAATTCAATAGCTCAGAAACCTTGCATCTGAATCAAAGGAATAGCCAATTTCATAAAGCACTGGTATGTTAGAAAAGTTCTTGATCAAAAAAAAAAAAAAAAAAACTGATCAACGAAGATTAATGTTTCTATGAGATTTATTCATTACAAATATAAGATTCTTTATAAAAGGTCTCGTCATTAGATTCTTTATAAAGGTAATTGTTATCCCACCACTTCAAGAATTAGAGATCTGAATATCGCTTCTAAGTGAAACGAAGCGATTAATAAAAATGAAAAAAAGAGATTAATAAAAATGAAAAAAAAGCCTTTCCTAAATAGCATGATTAAATGATTAGAAATTTCCGAATACCTTGTACGTATTTTTCGAATCTGGCCACCAGAACGGGTAAAACCAATATTAGGATAACTACCCGCCACAATTGCTGCCTGAATCATTGGCCATGAATTACTATATCGATTTAAATCGGGATCATCTGCTGACCGACAGTTTGCGGGTAATAGCCGAAGTCTTTGTAGTTCCATGAATAGTTGCTGTCTGTAATTTATTATCAAAAGCAAGCGTGAATCGGTAATGGCGTGTAAGTAATCACATACACCTAATCGTAATGTAATCAAATCCGCAAGAAATAAAGAAACTGAAGGGCCAGAATAACTTTCGATCGTCCAGTCATTCATTCTAATGCAGGCAGCATAACTTAATATTACTCTTTCCAACAAAGAATTCATATCAACTTCTGAATGAATGAATCGAGAAAAAATGGCTAAAAAATCCCTTTTAAGAACCACTAATCATAATTACAATGAAGATATATTGCCGAACTTCCATCCCAAAGTAAGAATATTTGTTAATGAGCCGGAAAGTTTAATCCAAATTGTGTTCCCAAACTATACCTCAGCAAGACACTGTCAATGATAGAACCAAAAACAAAAAGCTCACTTTTTAAAAATATTTTTCTATATTAATTTCAGCTAATCAACGCAAAATCCGCAGCTAGCTCTTCATTTTACAGTATTTTAAAAAATTCAATTCAACGATACAAATTCACCTACCGAATACCAACGATCATTCGCATCGCATTAAGGGATAAATAATTACTCATACAAAAATTCGACTGCCCATGAGGAGGTAATTTTATGAATGCGTTATATATTCTTAAAAATGTCATATGATCGGAATAATCAAAACCGGCGAAAATATCACGTGCCATCATTGCTGAATTCCGTTCTTCTCGCTCACCACTCGGTGGCAACACAACTACAACCGCAACTATTTTTATGATAAATGAAACACAAATATAAAGAAAAAAATAGAGAAAATAAGACTATGTGACTAATAATCAAAAATAAACGTAACTTACAGGGATCACGATGCGACAGAGTGGCAACAAGTGTTAAAACCGGACTCAAGCATTTCAAGCAAATACCAAAAAGAAGAAATCGAGCTAACTGCGGACACAACGGAAGTTGCACAATATGACGTCCAAGATCAGTTAAATCGGGTTCACCATTCCGGTCACGAGCATTTGAGAAATATGAATTATCTGTTAGATGTGACATCTGCGATGATTCCTGTCGACTTTTGAAAACTGCACCAATTTGCTGCAAATATATTTTCTCAAAGTTTTTATTGCTGCTTACAGATTACAGATTATACTCATGTGGTACTAATCGTAAGAACAAAGAATTATAATTAAATGGAAACGCTCTCATAAATAAGAGAAAGATTGTAAAGATTCGTAAGCTGTTGAATTTTTGATAAAAAGGTTAAAAAAAAAAATTGCAATTTTCCGCATCTAAATATGGTAACCTCAAGGAATTCAAAGCTTCGATCTATGGCTATTGCTGCTGGTGGTTCTGGTGCGTTAAGCAAAAATTGTCGAACTGAATATTTCCGTGGAGCAAACATTTTCGCATGCAAACATACTTCATGAATAGCGCTTCTTTTCATTTCAGGTAACTAAAAGTTTAGGATTTATTAGGAAATTTAAGTGACCATATTTTGAAATTGAAAAATTTAAGCAACCATATTTCGAATTTTGAATTGATATAAAAAATTCATCAAAGACCTGAGTTGGATTCATTCTAGCATAATCTTCCATTGTGAATAGTCGAAAACAGTAACCACTTCGACATCTTCCAGCTCTACCAGCTCGCTGTTCAGCATTAGACTTTGCTATCCATGTCATTTTAAGTTGACTGATACGTGTTGAGTGATCGTAAATTTTCTAAAGTGTACAGAAAGCATGATGAAAATATCTCAGGTTTTCTAATATATATATTTATATAGAAATATATTAATAATGAACAATCAAGGAATCAAGAAATACGGTCAAAAACGAAACACGGCTATGCCTCTTCACATCTGAGGAACAACTACAATGACGTTGCAGACATATCAAACCATCTTCCCAACTTTAATATTGATATAAGGAAGATGTAAGGAAGAAGATACAAGAAAGAACTTTAATACTGTGTATATGAAAGAATAAGGAAGCAAAGTTTTGAAAATAACGAGAAGTTTGAACCGTTACCTCCTTGACTTTCCCACAGTCAATCACGAAAACAACATCATCGATTGTCAAACTCGCTTCAGCAATATTTGTACTCAAAATCTGCAATTCTCTTAAAATTTCATTATTCTGATTTGCGATCCTAAATTATTAATTATTAAAAGTGAAATTAAAAGTCACTAGAACGGTGCAGAATTATTATACTTTACCTTTGCCTTACTTGTATTCGCATTTCACTTCACTTTCCTTGTAAATGTAAATGGTTATATAAGACGATTAATATGAACAGATAATGTAGCTTGAAACATACCACTTTACGATAACCACGACCCACTGGCTCAAACACACGCTGCTGATCTTGATTACCCATTTGAGAGTGAAGGGTGAAAATTGCTGGCTTTGTGGAACAGCCTTGCATTTTAATAGCTTTCTCACGTACAGCTAAAATATCTTCATAACCAGGTAGGAACACCAGAATTGAACCTGAAAAAAGTTTTTTAGCCTTTGATCAAAAAAGCATTTCATTCATAAACATCACAACAATAATCAAATCCCTCTTTCAAATACTGACTTTCAAATATAAAATAACCAGAAAATTATTACAAAGAAAAACCAAACAATTTTTACCAATATTTTGCTTTGTTTGTAAAGATATCTCAAAAATACCTCATATAAACATAAAAAAAGCCAACCATGAACTGGGCTGTCCATGCAGTAATTGATAACAGCTACCGTTAAATCCGTATCAACACTTTCCAACCATTGTTCACCACCGGATATCATATATGACTGTAAAACGTATAAGCAAAATAATCGAATTTTTTTTCCTATTATTCCCTTCTGACTTGAATTAAATTCATTTATCTTCCAATTTTCTTTTTTTTTCTATTTTTTATGATTGGTATTGTTTCAAATATTTTCAGTTAGTATATAGATCTTATTTTCCAAACAAAAATTGTAGCAAGTAAAAACTTACATCAACTAGGTAAATAGTATCCAGATTAGTACGCCGCAGGATTTCCACATATGACGGGTCAAAATATGGCGGACGATCGCGCAAACACGATACGTAGTATTCTTGGTCGCAGTGAGACTAACAAAGTATTCAATACAACAACAATAAATCATCTTAAGTCAAAATTAGTTTGAATAAAACCTGCTAGACAACCAACAAATTTCTGTACATTCTTGGTTTACTAAGATGGGAACGGCGAATAAAAGAAGAAAGAAACCCTTATTTCTGATGCTAGGCTTGAAAGTTGCAAACATGAAGATGACAAAACAAACATACCGTATCTCGTCGTCCTGAGTGGCCACTTGACAATGAAAATGGCATTGGTAACCTAAAAATAATTAAAATAATAAAAAAAAAAATCTTGAACCAACATACAGACAAAATAACAAGATACGTTTATTCAAACTTAAAACAGAAACACGGCCTTAAAATTTCATATAAATGAAAAATCATAAACAGTTATAAAATAACAGTAATAAATACCCCTGATTAGAAAAATTTGATCCATTAGAATTCCACTGAGTCCCAAATCCGTCTGTATTATTCGCAGGCATAAAGAATTTTGGAGGTTGCGTGTAATCTTGTATACTTGGAGGCTGTAAATCATTGGTTTCACCGGATAATTAATAAGCTGAATAAATACAAGAAAGTATTCAATTCTTGCAGTTATTTCAGGATATATGGAACTAATGTCGCTTTATTTATTTTGTCAACTTTTCCTCTTTTTTCTTCACTTATAACAACGGTAATTCAAACTTAATCAGCTACTATTATTGAATCACACAATCACACCATAAATCCATTTCCGATCAGACCTTGCAATTAGCTACATTTAGAGAACAAATTTACCATAACGTAGTAATTTTGACAATCACTTTGCGCCGGCATTACATGATATGTTGCATACATCATTTGCGGTCCGCCGACATATGAGGCCATCATACCATATGGAGTCACTGGAATCTGTTGAGCATATACACAGTTTGGTGGTGGTTGAGAATAATTGAAACCCTAAAAACAATCAGTGAGAAATTAAAATTAAAAAAATTTTCGAAAAAACTCTCATTCGCACTTACTATCAGCATGGATTTGCCAACAGCAGCTGAAGAAAACTTTCAAAAGAAGTGTTTATGTTCCAGCAAAACGTTTGCGAAGTAATTCTGGTTAATGAGATTTCGAGATTTCAAACAAAATTTCGACCTAAATTATGTGCCACTTCTATCTCCTATCAATATTTATCAAAAGTTTCCTTGTTATATGTCTTCGGAACTCTTTCCGCCGACAACTAAAAATTTTCAAAAAGATCTGAAGACTAATTAAGAAAGAAAACTTACGGCTAATCCACTCGGTGATGGGTACATTTGGTAACCATCATAAAATGTCGGTTCTTGGTAACAGCCACTTTGCTCACCATTTCTTATATTCATTTGGCTATACATTTCAGTTAAACTGATCTGTCCTGAAAAGCGTTTCTTAACTTAACTTTCATTATTGAAGTTAAGTAGCAGTTTATAGTCTAATAGTGGAATAAAACTGACCATTGCAATTTGTGTAATAGCCTTTTTCTTGCTGTGAATTTGAAGAGATTCTGCAAGACAAACTTTATTATTTTTTTATATTTCAGAATTTATGTTCATCTTTTCCTTCTTCTTGGTAAAGTAATAACCAAAATTAATGCAAATGAAACAAAACATTCTGTGCATTTCAACAAATAAATGTAAATCGCTTCTTATGTGCACCCACTTCACATAAGAACATAATATACCATGTATTTTATATGCTGAACATAAAATATTATGCATACATAAACAACTAATTCATTTAAAAAAAAAAAAAAAAAAAAAAAAAAAAAAACCATCTCATTTTGACTAATCCTAACTTAAATAATTATCTCTCAGTTAAACAACCTTTGACCAACAAATACGATTCGCAAAATTACTTCAAATGCTTTCCAACCGTTCACCCATTTTTACCGCATTTGTCACAAAAAGTTAAAGTAGCTTTGGAATAAAGGAAAAGAAAGAACCAACTGTGGACATAACTGCCGATTATTGAACTGATTGATCACTACTGGAGATAAATGATCACTTGCAGTAGCAGACGCAATTCGTCGTGACGGCATGACTTCATAATTACTATTCACTTCATCGCCACTCTAAATAACAAAACTGATTTACAACAACGATAAAGCGCCAGAAGTCCGTCTCCGTAAATTTTCATTATAGCACTGAAGGGCTTACCTTTTTTTTAACATTACGTCCTTGGTGCATTTTTGAATCATCATAATTTTCAGAACGAAATTCATCCACTTGAGGAAAACTGTAAGAAGAAACAATGAAATGCTTAATTATTTAGAACAAGCCTAAATTCTGCGAAACAGATTCCGACATGCAACTTCATTGATTTCCATTCAAAAATTTTTGTCTCTTTACTCTGACTAGCTTCACAAAGTTATCAAAAATTATCTTCCCGAAGATATCGTCAAACTTCGTCATTTATAATTGCCCCACTGAGAAATATATGGATAAATTATGGTTTTGGCAATGGGTTACGCTTCAATCCCATATGGTCATCCTATACACCACTCACTACCTGTAATGGCGAAATTGGCCATTAACTGAAATAATTTCCTAATTTCAAACATAAAATACTTGCCTATTATAAGCTTGATCATCGTTCAAACTCCTTGCAGTTTTACCGAAAAAAGTACCACCAGTAAACGAAGATGCATGCTTGTAATCTGTCAGTGCCAGTATTTCCGGTAAATAAAACATTTCTACCTTGTGTAATGTGGATGGTACTGAAATCAAGAAAAACAAAGATTTCCGTTCGTGTTGTAAATAACAAATTAAATGACGGTGCAAATTCTGCTACAAAAGAGTTTGATAAAAATCGAAAGATAATTTTTCTTCTTTTTACAGTTAACGTCTTGTGCACAACTCACGATCTTGTACGAAAAACTTAGAGAACTAGACTTGCAAATAACTAATTAAAATCCATGTAAGATATTTCATTAGTACAGCTGTGAGTTTTTCCGTGAAAAGTCTTTAGTATTCTTCGTTTTGTTTAATCCCATTTGTTCTCAATAATATTATGTCATATCATGACTTCTGACATCATGATTCGTAATGACTAATGTTAGGTATTTTCATTAAATTTATAATCCAAATTTATTCACGATATGGCGTTAAATTTTTACAGAATGAACACATTCGAATTATTTCTGGAATTTAAAAAAAGTTTAGATCACTTCTCCGCTCTCCTTCTTTTCTAATTTCTCCACTTGCGATTTAGATTTCCGTGAAAATGATTTCAGATTAAGTGAGATTGAAAAACTTACTGTCCAAACAAAAAACATTTCCAGGACCAAAATAACGTCTAAATAATTCGCGACTTTCTTCCATCGTTGCGGACATTAGAATAATCTAGAAAGTTAAAGCATTATACTGCCATTTTCAAATGAGTTTAGCCACCTAAAGCACGAATTTTTAAAGTTCCACGAAAGATATAACTTACCCTTAAATCATCTCGATTTTTAAGAGCCTGTCGAAGCGCTATTAGAAGATAATCCGTCTTTTGCTCTCGTTCATGAATTTCATCCTTAAATTTTATATCAGTAAATTTGCTCGCTGTGATTTTGGATAAAGTTTGTTTCACACTTATGATTGCAGTATTTCGACTGGAACTATCTGGATTTTATTCGAATTCTACTGACTTACTCAAGTAATTCCTTGATTCCATGGATTATTATAAAGAAAACTCCTCAGTTTCCTTGAATGCACATCAAAACACGTTAAAATATAAAAAGAACAAATGCTATTTTTTGCTGAACAGACTAGCTTATTCATTTTGAAATAAAACAAACAAATCAATCACAAACCAAGATAATGTGTGAAATATTGGAAGCATTAGTATCATTTGTAAGCAGTCGTAATAAAACTCCACTGGTGCAATATGTTAGTACAGTTTGTTCTGATGTTCTGAAAAAAAAGAAAAAAAAAATGAAATCATAAACAGAAATATTAGAGAATTCGGAAAAAATATTAAGTGAAAACTAAAATTTCATTTGTATAATATTATCTCGTGATTTCCACTAAATTAAAACGAAAAAAAAAAACATACTTCTGCTCCAATCGAATATGATAACCAACTGTTGATCCCAATTTCTCGTTTCGTTCTTTTGCAACACGTGCAGATACCGCAAGAACTGGCAATCTTCGCGGTTGCGTACAAAATATTCGAACTGCTTGCTGACGTTCTGCGGCATCTTCCATTATAAACTGAGGAACCTGAAGAAATTTACGAAAGATATTTACGATGGTATTTGCTTATAATTTTTCTTATCTATCGATCGTATTACTTAACAACCTTACCTAATCTTTTATTTTCCCGCACACACACAATTTCTTCTATCTCTCTCAATAAATGTAATAAAAGACTTTCGAATTCAGCTAATAAAACATATCAGGAAACCAAGTGCTTTCAATTCATGATGCCTTTGTTAAGGGAAAGCATTTTCGTAGGCTGAAAAAAAATTACGAAAATGGAAAGGAATGGTCGGAAAGAAATTAATAGTGAACTTTCAGTCTCCACGGACCAATGATATCGTAGACTGCTGAAAATAACTTTCCCATAGTTACTTTGCTTCGAATATATTTGCAAGCCAAATATATTTCAAAATTTACAGATAAAGTTTCCGCATTTTAATTGCTTCGGAAGTTAAAGAATAAAACATTTTAACAGTTATTTTGCGAGAAACATTGATTTTTTAATGCCATCTCAGGTATCATATTTCAACAAACAGCCCGAACTTTTACTAATATTATTTGACTTTTAAACTTAGTTCATCAGCATTTGCTATAACTATCTTGAAGGTAAAGAACGAACATACCGAGCAAATCATGAATACCAATGGCATTCACAATCTACCTCAGTATTAAACAATTATCTAAGACCATTTTAAGTAACTCATATTAGTGAGATGTCCAGCCTCAAAATTTTTAGTGTAATACCCGAAACACTCCAACAAAATCGAAAATGAATAATTTGTCAGTATTTCAAAATTATAGTCCGAATTTAACTATTTATCTGAAATATGACAATGTAGTAATTCATGCACACTTCACCACCGATCTTGCTAATGTTGTTCTAGTTTCTAAATTTTTTCCAACCCAGAAAACTATTCAAAATAAACTAGTCTAAAATTTGTGCACGCGACTTACAACGAAAACATTTCTCATCTGATTCTATGATAAACAGTTTAAGATTAGTAATAGTTTTGATCATACAATAGCAACCTCCCATAACTTCATGGCAAACATTGATACGTGCTAAGTATCCAGTTTGGTCATCAAAATCTTCCCAGAACAGAAAGAACCTTTTTCAGACAATTATTCTATAGTAAGAATGTCAATAATCCCCTTTTTTTCCATATCTTGGAAGGTTCACTTGCGCTCAAAAGCTGTTATCAACTTGAGTTAATTATTCATATTCGTAGTGTTTACCATTAAACACCTATTATTTTAGCGAAAAGCATATTTGAAAGACTTAAAGAACAGTTCCAATCATGTTTGTGGCAGTGCTTCCTCTACTGAACACACAGCAGAAAGCGCAACACTTCACACCGTTTCTTAACCACACTGATTTCTTCTAGGCTTACTTTCTAATAAAGCTTTCTAAAAAATCCCACTGTTTATTATCAACATTCACCAAAATCCTATCATCACAATTCTATCGAATGCCATATCTTCTAAATATTTGTGTCCTCAATACTATTGTTGCTGTAAAAAAAAAAAAAAAAAAAAAAAAAAAAAAAAAAAATGAAGCGAAAAACAAAACTTCGAAGCTCTTTCATTCCCAAACTTCAATTTGGAAAGCATTTTTACCCAAATTTCATTGTCGACTGTAGAATGCGTCAAATAATAATACAAAGTCATTGCCAATGTTCTTGCCGCTTTTCATTCAATGTAATCAACAACAAAACGGTGGCCAAAGTAACCATCTGATTTATTCTTAGCCAACATTTTAATGGCCAAAAAAATTGATTATGAAGCTGCCATTGTGCGCTTAAAGATATAAGTAACGGATTCTACCATTATCCGATATTTTTCAAAATGGTGCAGATAGAATTCATCGGCAAATTAGTGTTAGCCTTCTCCAAAAAAATATCAGCGAAACAGATATGACTATGAAAGAGTAATCCTTTTCATTATTCATATACTTTTTAGGTTTATATTCGACATTTCCACTATATTCAGCTCGCTCGTAGATAATTGAAAGTTGACAAGAGCCGCAATTTTCTTTTGATATATTGTTATCATTGTCAAGTCAAATTTTGTCTCAAGATGGAAATATTTTGGTAGCTTTAAGTTGAACTGAATATGCAAGAGAATCGACAACCAGCACTTTCTACTCCTTACTGATTTGCTTCAAATAACTTCAGTTGTTGCCATCGACAAATCGAAATGCCAAAAACTGCTGTCTCAAGAACTTCCCGTTGTTCAGTAATCACAACCTTCCTGTCCACAGATAGCACTCAGTCCAAAAGTTTATTGATCTTTCAAGCGTGTCTCCAAATACGACGAAAACGTTAATGAAATCACTTAATCTTCCTTGCTTACATACTGCTCTACCTATTTGTATTTCAACTGGATATTAATTTCGTGCTCAATTATTTCGCATTACCCAAAATCACTTATACTAGATCTTTAAGAAAGATGGAAAGACAGTTAATAATTATTTTCTTTCTAATGGAGAATGGTGGAACCCACTCTAGATACACGACAAAATTTCTCATTTCTCGCAAAGAAACTAAAATCTTCCTACCTTACTGCTTTGCCTCTAAAACTCATTCTTGAATAGAGGGTACAGGAAGAAATGGAAAGGTTACAACAAAATTTAAGTAAATTACCGATTACTATGCAGTAAATTGTTGACAGCTCCTGACGTAAAGCTTTTACATTTGAAAACGTGATATGTAAAAGAGAAGAATCACATATGCTCTCGATTACAGTTGTGAAATCCGGCGAACTGACGGGTTCCGCGCTTACTAAAAGCAACTACTACGAGTGGTTTATGCATAAAATCCAGTCACCGTTATGAAACTATTACCTGTGTTGTCTTACCACAACCAGTACCACCAACGATCATTGTTACTTTATGATTACGAATAGTTTTCAGGATTTCTTCCCTCATTGCATAGGTTGGCAAACTTTTACGGAAATTCTCCATTGAGTGCCGTACTGACGTACAAGGTGGAACTAACATCGGTCTATTGAAGCTTGAATGATAGCGACCACCAACTTGCCTGGCTAAAACGAACAAAATGAATACAGCAATTCGATATAAAACAGAAAAAAATGTCAGAATCACGGCATAAAGCAAATATTTTACATAAAACCAGCCAAAAAAGTTAGATGGAAAGAAAGATGTATATTATCTATCATATTCTCATACCAAAAAGAAATTGGACTGCTATAATCCGTAATTAAGACCAATAAAAAAAATCTCTTTTTATATTAAAATTACTAAAGTGGCTTACTGGAATTGTTTAACATGTTTCTCTCCTATTATTAGAGAAAAATTTACTGAACTGTGCCAAGTGATATGAGACGAATTTAAAAATGCTATAATCAAAGGATTATCCATTCTTGTAAAACTATTTCATATCACGCGGATATGTCAGATCAGGAAAGAAGCAAACAGTGCCTTAAAAACATTGCCGAAGGTGTACTTAATAGTAGTTTCTTGACGGAAAGAAAGAAAAAAAAATAAACTTACTTGCGTTGCCGGATCGAAGGTATAAGTCGATATCACCATAACCTAACGGAAATATGGTCAAGAAACGAGATAGTGCTCGTTTTTGGAATATACTCAAAACAATCGGTTCCGAATCTCTAGCATTCGTGTAAGTACACAAATCAACATGTGGAAAACGTGTCACCACAACGCGACGATTACAACCGCTTCTGAAATATTTAAAAGTTTTCCCATAGTTAATGTATATTAATTAAATCTTTTACACATAATTAAATTTCATTTATTGAACAATCGATACCCACTACTAATATAACGGATACAAATAGAAAAATACAGTGGTAAATAATCTTACCCGATACTGTGCGACTTCAGACTGCAATTCATGGCTATACAATGCACAATTTTTCTTTTATCAATTGATAACGGTTCGAGAATAATTTCTAGAAATAAGAGTGGAATAAAAGTAAAACAAAAGCAAGCCACGATGAAATATTTTAAACATATGTATATCAGCAATGTTAACAATTTCCCAAACAGCTAAATACAATTCCACATACTATAATGGCATGCCAAACATTTCGCCTCCCCTGTTATTTATTTCCTTCCCATCCAAAATCCTAACCATCATGCTATCATATAATACTTTTATGTGTTATCAACAATACCACAACAATCTATAGTAATATCCTATTAATGATTTAAATAAAAATAAAAATGATTTAAATAAAAATAAAAAGGAAAAAAAAATAAATGACTTAAATAAAAATAAAAAAGAAAAAAAAATACCTCTTTCGGTACCGCTCCTAAATTCAAGCAACTGTTTGCGAATATTTTCTTCGAATGAATCACCATCATTTTCACGTTCCTCTGCTTCAAACCCATCATCAAAGTCAATAAAATCTGATCGCTGACCAAACGTCTGCGACATATTTACCTATAATATAATCCTTAAATAATTTATTCCATTATAAAAATTTATCATAAATCACTGAATCATCCAGTATGGTATAATTTTCGTTTCATATTTGGATGAACAACATGACAGAACAACGTTATAAGCAATACATTTGTTAAGCAGTTTTTCTATGAACTATTTAAGCAGCGCAAAACTATATGTCCATCTTTCAGCATATCTTTGGGATAAGAGCAGTTATTACAAACACTATTCCTCCAATAACTGATGTAGCTCCATCTGTATAAAAAAAAAAGAAAATGTAATAAAATTTTATGAGATGATGTCACAGAAATCATTAAAGCCTTTTATGGTCAAGAAATTTTGTTATGAATACAAAAAATACCTAATAACCTAGCAGCATCACATCTGAATCAAAAGTGTATTCGGACAATATATGTAACATTGATCTATTAAATCACAATTTAACCTCTCTAGTAAAATTTGCCAACTAAGTTATTTCAAAAGTATCATTTATCTGTATTTCTTCTCAACAAGACGTATACTGAAATATCAATCTAATTTATATGAAACACTCGACTATTTAAAATGTATTAAGTTTTCGGAAAATTAATATACACTGCATAATATATTTCTTATCAGACCTAAGACAGAATTCAGATTCTTTGATGCTGAATACTTCCAGTAACGCAATTTGATGCCTATCCTTTAGTGTACGGTCTTTTTCCTCGAATTTCACTAAATCACCACTTCTTTCCTTGATTTATTTCCAATTTCTTCGACATTTTCTCCCATATTTCTCCCTTTCTTGAGCAACTCGATCTCAAAAAAGAGCTTTTGCATTTGAATCTATCATATTTTGAAGTTCAAATATGACAAAGGTAAAATAAACTACAATTCGGAATAATGCAAAAAAAAAAAAAAAGAAACACGATCATACAAGATCACAGCTAAAAAACATAACATGCTGACAGATACATGCTTCGTATTTCAAGTATAACACTTATTACATTATTCATTAAGCCTATCAAATATGTCAAATAACAAAGGAAAATGTTAGTTAAAGGTATAAAGAAAAAGTGAAAAAGTGTTACGCATATTACTAACGTATCAAACACGCTTAACCTAACACGGGAAACGCTACTTTAACGTGCACATTCCACGTCCACATTGCTCACACATTACAGCTGTCGTTTATTTTTGACGCGGCCCATCGTGAAATATCAACAACGAGATCGAGATTGCGAAATTTGAAACGTTAATGTGCATTTATTGCTTTTTCATTAAATTTTATTTCAGTCAACGAAATCTTCACAATATCTGTTGTCTAGTATAACATGATATTTCATAAAGTTTGCCACTTTCTATTACCTCCTCTATTGCTATGTTATTTTTACTCTTACTTTTCATCTCTACCTCTATGATGTTTTGATAAATATCAGTAATCTTTGATTCTTTTCCTTTATACATTCTTTCATCTTGCGGAATTAATGTCAACAAGCAGTAAATAACCATTAAAATGAAGAAATAAATGAATGTTTACACTATCCTATCTTCTTCTGTTTACATCATACTTTCCATCTCATTTGCTCTCATTTCTTCGCTTCCTCTCCCTATCTTTTCCCTTCTAACTCTTTCTCTCTCTCTCTCTCTTCTCCTCTCTCTCTCTCCTCTCTTTGTTATTACAGGAGAACCATGCATAAATTTATATTTAGTGGCACATTATTTATCACTATTTATCATTAATACACTATCTACTCTTTATCTTATTATGTCTTCAATGAATCTAAATTAGCCAAGTTTGTAGGCCTAAAGTTAACAAAGTTTACGAGCCTTAAGATACTAGGGGTCTTAGTAGAGTTTTACTTATAATCTGAAGATAGTAGTGAAATTTGTAATTTTAAGATAGTAAGAGAGTAGTATAGATTACAGTCATTTTTTTGTAACCATAAATTCTAATTACATAATTCTTATATTTCATAGATTATTGGGGCTATGATTAGTGATTAGAGATTTATACATTTTATAGATGAATTAAATATTTTTTTAATTTATTGATTTGAAATAATACTCATATAACCAAAATTTATAATACACGTAGAGCAAATTCTCAATTAATTGTACAAAATTTGTTTATTTGAATTATTGAATCGGTGCACGAAATTGGATCATTCATTCATTCATTCATTCATTCATTTGTGCATTCGTTTTTTTTTTTATTCTTAAAATTTTCAATTAAATGTCCGAAATTTATTTATCAATCATTCAAACTTGCATTTATTTATGTGAATTTTGTTCACTCATTCGTTTTATTTATTTTCATTGAATTTCTAATTTTCTTTTTTTTTTTTCTTTTCATACTTTCATGTCTGTCCTCTTTGCTTATTTGTTAGTTTGGAAAAGAGAGAGAGAAAAAAAAAAAAGCAAATTATTTCTGAAACGATTATGTCATTCTTTTCAAATTTAATATAAAGGATTTGATTTAAATGTTTTCCTCTTCTCAATTGGGACGGACATATGCTGTGATATTTGATGAAAGTTGGAAAAGAGCAAATCATTAGTATTGATTTTTTAATTGTTCAAATAAACGATGAATGAGTGATTGGTTAAGAGAAATATTTACACTATGAAATAAATTGATAAAAATTTTTCTCGCTTGTTCTCCTTTTTATCTAACTTTCAAATAATTTTCTCTCTGTATAACTCTTGAGAATAGAAAAGGAAAGGTATAATAGGTATTAGAAATTAGAAGAATCAAAGAATACAATGACATTGACATTTTCTATTAAGTAATTTTTTTTTTTAAAGGATGTACGAATTAAGGAAACGAATCAGAAAAAATCTTTGATATAAACTTTATCTATCACAAATAGTATGTCCTATCTTTCCTATCCTTTTTTTAAAAGAAATCATTTATTAACTTTAACATGAAATGATATCACTTAATTATAATATAATATGTTATAAATATATTTAGTCTTAATAACAATAGAAATATTTTTTTTTTTTTTTGTCACAATTTTACTGAACAAATGTAATTAATAAACTTTTAATAATTTTTTTTCATTGTTTATATATTACTGATGTACTATTTGTATTTTCATGTATTTATATTTCACATTTGCATTATCTATTTATATTGATATTCATATTGACCTGATGTATGTAGAACTTTTTTTTTCAGTATATTATCATTAATCAAAGATATTTTCTAATCAATTAACAATTCGACGATGATAAATGATAATGATAAACTTGATAGTTGTATTGGACGACAAAAAGATGAGCAAGAAAATGGTATGTAATAATTATTCATTATAACTAAAAATTATAATCAAAAAATTCAATACAAACTTATTGTTTACGATACTAGTATAGATATTCAAGAAAACAGTTTTATTTAGATTACTATTATATTAGTTTTTGTAATACATAAATTCTTCAGTGCTTTAATTCTTTTTATTTTCAGAGACATTTATGTTTTAAAATTGTTAGGGAAAATGATATTATTATTGGATCAAAATGCGCAGAATTCGTTCCTTTATTTCATATTTTATTATTATTGTTGGAACATTGGTTATTTCCAAGTTTGTTGTCAATATCACAATTTACAGTACGGTACGAATTTTTTTTAACTTCCAATGTTGCCATAAGCTCCATTAGAATGATTCGGATTTTTTTTTTCTAATTTATTTCGTGATAGCTCATCTTACGACTTCATTTCTATGAAATCAAACAGAGGTATAAATAAAGTTGAAATATTATTGCTTGACTTAACTAACTGGAAACTTTTTTTCTTATGTAACTATTTGACTGCTCTAAGAAAAATTTTATGGGGAACTGTAAGTCAGAGAATGTTGCTCAATAATAAATTAAATCGTTTTCTGTTCAACTGCTGTAACTATAGCGCTATGAAACATACATTTTATCAATTAATTTTGAAGTTAAAACAGCTTGAACTTCAAAATTATAGAAAGTTGCAACATTTCTACTCTAGATTAAGTTCTAATAATATTCTTCCTTTTGCATTAAAACTATGTATTTTATGTTTTTTTTTCCCTGATGAAACCATAACACAGGTACAGATATAGTAGTTTCTTTGTTTTTTTTTTTTCTTTCAGCTTTCCGGATTTTGTTGCTATCGTGAAAGTTTAACTTTTAGAGGTATAAAATGGATGACGACTTGCAATACCGTCATCACTTGTTAAATTTACGAGTTCGTAGTGTGGCACGTCGTTTAGCGAACGATTTGCATCGAGTACGAAATGTTTTAAATGAAAATGATTATTTAGATACGGTCATTTTAGTGATTGCTTGCAATCGGTTTGAGGCGTTGAAAGAACATCTTGAATCATTAAAAAAGTTCGTTGATTTTTTTTAGAAATCTTAAAACTTTATATTTATGAAAACATTGAGAATAGATAGGTGAATTCATGCAGACTTTAAGAATCATGCAGACATGATCGATTATATGCACTTTTTTATCACTATGAGATCTAAAAAAAGAAAGAAATGAAGAAAAGAAAAAGAAGAAAAATTGATCGGTGTTATTTACATTTCATATTTTTTAAATTGTGTGAATATTTTTCTCAAAGTGTTATAAAAAAGTTTCCAACATTTGCTGTATTTTCTTTACCAGTTCAAATCTTAATCATCTGTAAGTTAGCCATCATTATTACTGGATTAAGGAAACATTTAATGATTTTCATATTTATGATGAGTAGTACATGAAAGTTAAACATTAATATAGGTAAAGATGACTTCCCATATTTTCAGTTTGCAAGGACCCAAGATTCCGATTATTGTTAGTCTTGATTGCAATGATGATGCAGTGCGTGATATTATTCTTAATGCTGGTCCAAATATTACTTTAATTGAAAATCCTAATCAGTCTTTATTCAACCTAACCAAACAGGAAAAAAAGTATGAAGGTTATTATCGAATTGCGAGACATTACCATTTCGCTCTGGATTATGTCTTCAGCATTCTAGGATATCAAAGTGCTATTATAACCGAAGGTTACATTTCACAATTATTGATTAAAAGTAGTAATAATTGGGAATTGTTACTTTTTTTTGGCATTGATAACAATTAGAAACTGATAGCGCCATTGATATTTGGTGTAATATTGTCACTCTGTAAGTTTATTTTACGATCGAGAAGATACGTGGGTAAATTAGTAAAAATTCACAAAAGTTTTTTTAAGTTGATGATAAGGTTTTGATATATGGTAGGAATACGGTTCAGATCAAGAAACCAGCAAATTTAGTATACTGCTCTAAATTAAAGGTTTTCTAAATTAAAGGCTTTCTGATATGAAGTTAGGAAATAACTAAAAAAAGAAAAACTTTAAAATTTATATATGTTCGATTAATTTTTCAATTATTACCATTATTTGTTATTTGAGTTTGTTTATTGCTTGTAACTTTCAGATGACTTACTATTAGCTCCGGATTTTCTAGAATATATGCTGGCAAATAGGAATTTGTTATTCGAAGATCCAACAATTTGGTGTATATCAGCGTGGAACGATAATGGAAAGAAAGAACTCATTGTGAAGAATAACTCCCTGTTGCATCGAACTGATTTCTTTCCAGGTTTCTTGTTATATTCACAGATATCACTTTTAATGATGGTGATTAGATATAATGGAGTTTCTTCTTTCCCTTACAATCTTTCATTAAAATTATCTCGATTATCATTCGAGTGATTTAAGCAAAGTGAATTATTCGAAATCTAACAATGACTGCTGTTTAATAATTATTTTTGATATGTTCGTTTAAAATCTAGGAAGTTTTTCAGGTTTAGGCTGGATGCTTACATCACAGCTATGGGAGGAATTGAAAGTTAAGTGGCCCAAAACATTTTGGGATGACTGGATGCGTGACCCAGCTCAACGTCAAGGACGGGCATGTGTTAGACCGGAAATATCACGTACGGGTATCAGTTTGAGAGGAAAAAAAGGTGTCAGCAAGTATGTGCTTTGCCATCCTTTCTTAAGTGATACTAGAAAACACTTAGCTATTGACGATAACTTCAAAAATTCATCATCAAAATGAGATTAGCTGTGATGATAGGAGTAGTTGTGTGAGTGATTTCATTTCACTTATACATAATAGCTATTGATGTTGAGTGGTGAAATAAAATTAAGAGGAGGGACATATGTTTTTAATATGATAATCCATTAAACTTCATAATCAGTAATATAGTTCATAAATACAATTCCATTCATAATAATTTAGATCTTTTTTCTGTATCATCCCAAAATTTATTTAGCTAAATTATCATTCATGATAAGAAAAAGATGAGCAGTTTCTGAAATTGATTCTTGCTTTTTTATCACTAATGTTTAGAATGTATTCCAAATGAATGCTTTGGATGATCAGTGGTGATTTTCAGTAATTTTCAGAGGCCTGTATTACGAGAAGCATCTGAAACATATCATAGTTAACACAGATTTTTATCACTTTTCTCAGTCCGATTTATCTTATTTAAAAAAAGACTATTATGATCCTGCCTTCCGTAAAATTGTTCTTGGGTAAGTGGAATTTTGACGTTTTGAATGTGAAGTGAGAATGCACAATCGGCTAGATTGTTCTTAACCAGTTATGTTTTTCAAAATTATAACCTTATAAAATGTTGAATTAAATTGAAGTTTATCTATTCAAATCTATTTTTCTTTATCCGTTTTCTTTTTTTTTTTTTCAATTTTATTCCAGCAACTGAAGAACAAGAAGTAAAGAGTAGAATTGTAATAATAAATAAAATGATTTAGTATAGATTGTAGGGTTGCTTTTGATTTGTGTATTATTGAGAAATATTATATAATAGTTAGACTTGTACATTTGTTGATAGAGCGGTTCCTGCTACTTTGGATGAAATTCTGAGAGGAAGATTTTCAAATGGTACTATTTTACCAGAAAACGTACGCTTGTTTTATGTGGCTTCAGTTGATTTTAAAGCATTCGCAAAGAGATTTGGTGTAATGGATGATTTTCGGGTATTTTTAAGAAAATTTTTATTTGATGAGAAAAAAAAAAGGGAAAACTAGATTGACTAGATTATAAATTAATAATTAAAAGGCTAGATTACTTTGATTTCTCTCCGAAAAGATCTTTTGATTTATGAGAGTTGGACATAAAGAAAAAGTAATTCTTTCATTTTTTTTTTTTTTTTAATTTTTGAACTTCTGATTGAATGAAATGTAACAAATTTTAGTCAGGCATATGTCGCACTTGCTATCATGGAGTGGTCTCATTTCGGTATGGTCAACATCGCGTTTTCTTGACTCCAAAGGAAATTCAAGACATATGAGAGATTTTTTAAAATAATTATTTGTCGTGTTTAATTTAAGCGGTTTTATTTCAAGGGCTTTATTGTATCGAATATTAATTGTTTCAGTCTAGAATATCTCGAATTAACTTTTTTATTCTTTTGAATAAAATTTAAGTGAAACATCATGCGAGATCTCAATATTTCTTGTCCCATTTATTTATAGAGTACTTGTAGTTTTATAATTTTTTTAGAGGATTTTCTCTTCATTGTCATGTTGTTTCTCTGATAGTTTACTTAGACGACAAACACAGATTGTTTAATTCATATGTTACTTTGTAATTGTATTTATTACATACTTATCTACAGTATTTATCGTATTCATTATTCTACAAACAGATTTCAGTTAATGTTAGTTTGAATTTAATTTGATTTAGTATTTTTAAATTACCACTAATTTAGTATTTTAGTTAGCAACTAATTTTGATTTAGGTAGGAAGTTTTTAGTAATTTGTGTGTTGTAAACAAGGAATTTATGAAAATTGGTAGGATTAACGGAATGTGATAATAAATCCTTTTGTTAGAAGAAATGATCAAACAACTATAACATTTTCAAGGTTCATATGAGATTATTATTCACCGATTTTTCCAGTTGATTGTACGCTACAAAGTGACGGACATCAAGTCAAATTTTAGAAGATTTTGGAGAGAAACAGAAAATTGAGGTCATCGGTTGTTCATCAAGGACTCATTTTCATCCTCTCATGTCGACTCCGAATACAGTAACTTTCAAGGGATAGATTTAAATTATATATGAATGCAGTAGGATAGATTTTATAAATTATTTGTTACGATAATCCTGCTTTAAACTATTTTTCTTTTTTGGTTTACTATTCATAATTTGTGATAGATAGTGATTTCTTCCTATTTTATGCTATAATTCATTGAATTAATCTGTGATTTGAAAATGTAATATAAATGTATTTCTGTATTTCTATTGCAAAAGCAAGGATGCTAGGAAAGGAATGAAAGTGCTAATGAATTTTAGGTTTATAAAATAGTTTGATGTGAAAATTTAGTCTCTACTTTGATGAAGTTATTCAAATGTATAGTAATTGTGTGATTTTATTATCCTAAATTTAATTGAAGAGAAATGTTAATTGTAAAAATTTAATCTGAATTAGGAGTAATTTTATTCTTGTATCATTTGTATAATATCATCTTTTTTCTTCTTTTTGTTAATGAAATATTTTTAATTTTAAACATTAAATAAGAGTTTTATTTAACGTCTAAAAGGTTGTCATAATTGAATAATTTGAAAAGGATGATGTACAGTTGTTTGAATAACACTTATTTCATATTACATTTATTCATAATTCCATGTTTTTTATTCAGTTTATTTGTACAAATTCAATTGAATCTTCTCAATTTCTCTAATTTTATTTTGTTTTTTAATTTTTTGAAATTTGTTTTGTTTTTTCTTTGTAGTTTTACTTCTTTTTTTCTTCGCTTTATAGATTACATAAGGATAAATTTAGAATTATTAGCATGTTAGTATGACTTAATAAGCTAACTGAACATTAGGAAGGACTTATCCAACTGAAATTAATGGCAGGGAATGTGATGATTAACTAACTATGTGAACTGAATTGAATTCTATTTCATTGCTATGTGAAATTTAGCATTAAAATTAAATCGAAGAAAATGATGATGAAGATGATGGAAATAATTATTCGATAGGTTTATAAAATTATAAATTTATTGACTTTATAATTTTTCTTATTCATTATTCCTACTTTGTTATTTAAATTAATTGAATGTATGATTGTCGAAATGGTGGTTAATTTTTCATTTGGTCTTTTAACTTTATTTATTTTAATTTCATTTATTAAATGCTTTGTTTTAAAACAAAAAAAGAAGTATAGCATAAATAAGTTGCACATTCGAGAGTAAAATTCTCGTATTTATTATTAAATTTTTTCTTTTGTTATACTGAATAATTTAATGCTAAAGGTTAAAGGTAATAAAAATTCTATCAGCAATATAGGAGAATTTTTTACAAATGTATTATCAATTTAAATCTCGTTATTATTTTTAGAAACCATTTTATAATAGAGATTTGCATTATGAAAAATTAGCAGAAAGTAGTAGCTTTTTTTTTAGATTTACAAATTAAAACTTAAATTTTTTATTATTTAACCATTTTCGAAATCATTTTGTTCTTAATTTCTAAGCTTAAGTTAAGTTTTTAATAATTTTTTTTTTCTTTTGAGAAATAAAATAATATTGAATATATCACTTGCAGCAATTTTTGCTTTTTTTTTTTTCGTGAAGAGAATTATAAGAAATGAAGAAGGAAGAGGAAGGAGAATATGTGAAATAATTGATTGTGTTTACTATCATAAGTAAAGTATTACATCGTTGATTTTTGTTTCTTTCATTTTTTATTAAATATTTGCATAGAAAAATTTTTTTTTAATTTATTAGTAAATTGTTTACATAAAACTATAATATAAAAGATAAAGGATCATATCTGATTGATAGCATTTATAATAGAAAATTTCATTTTTTTTGGAATAATTTTCAAAAAAAAAAGATAAAACTATTAAGCTAGGTAGTTATAATTAAATATAATTAATGAATTAATTTTGTCCTAATAATTAGAAATAATATATTTAACAAAAAAAAAATACATTTAGAATTATTTCAATTTTAAACAATAATTAAGATTGAGACGACGTTAATTAGTCTTATTTATTCATTGTTCAATAATATGTTTGATTATAATTAATTGGTTAATATTTTCAGTCTTTTTTCCTGAGGCCTTCTGTTGTGTTTTTTTTTTTTTTTTTCTAAAAATTAAAAAAAAAATTTATATATTTGGCAAAAATTCTACATGTTAAAATGTAATTCAGATGTTACAAAGATAATGAATTCATTTTATCTAATCATTTTATCAATGAGTACATCGAAAATTATTGTAACACTCATTTTTGTCATCACCTTATATGTTTTTTTTTTTAATTTTTCATGACTAATAAAATTAAAATTAATAATAATAATATCAAAGAAAAAGTATTATTCTGATATATCAAAAAAAAAAAAAAAAAATATAATATTGAGAAAGTTTAATAATTATAACATTATAATAACACAGATATTATTTAGCTAAATCAGTAATTTATCGTTATTTTTGTGTATTTATTGAATAAAATAGGAAATATTCCAAACAATTTTAAAACTTTTTTATGAAATTAGTAATATTTTCATTTAATTTTAAGATATCATTTGAAAAAAATTGTTGAAAATGATTTGGTATTTTGGGTTGATTTGTTAATTTATAAATGAACTTATCAATTGTTAAAAAGCTTCAGCATTCTATGCTAATGAAAATTAATTTTAGCTAATAGTTTTTTTTTTTCGGCTTAGAAAAAAATTCATCTTAAAAGTATGCAAAATTGGCGAAATAAAAAAACAGTATGTTATTTAATTAATAGAAATAATAATAAGTATTAATAGTAATAATAAATAATAATAATAGTGATGATGATAATGATAATAATGACAGTAATGACAATAATGATAATAATGACAACAATGATAATAATAATAATATAATAATAATACTAATAATAAATAATAATAATACAGTTTATCAGAAATTATCAGCTATTGTGACGATTGTTATAGATATTACTAATAACAGTAATGAAAAAATAAGCATTTATCATAAGTAATAAGTTTTGATCAGTATTATCACCCATCTAAAATGACTATCAGTGTGTTATAAAACAGATGAAGATCATATCAGTTGATATCATCAGTATTATCACTATACCCATCCCATCGCACATTAATATAATTTTAAATTTAGAATGTCAACAATCGCTTCTCGATGAAATTATCCATTTCAACTAAATCCTTTTTGCTACTGTCCTTGAAATTATTCTCTGCTTTTCGCTGAAATTTGCTCATCACAGTGCCTTTAATACGACATTCATCTATTTGAGAAAGGAATAATTAATTCATTCCCTAATTATCGTTGAGCCAATTTATTATAGTAATTAAAAAGTGGAAAAGGCTACATTTGTTACAAAAATATAAATTAAATTATTATTATACTACAAAAAAATTATTTAAAATATATTAACTCAAAAACTCAAATAAAAAAAAATCATTTCAGATATAAATTACTCAATTATTTTTCATTACTTCAAAATGAAAAGTTAAACTTTCTCTCTATTCAAACTATCAATGGTTACTTTAAATTTAATCATTCTTGTAAAGTTTAGTATATTTTCATCTTCTATTGGTGCTATAATTATTTCATTTGAAAAAAAAAAAAAGAAGAGAAAAAGTTAATTTTAAAAAATTTATAAAATGAAAATTATTTAACCATGCAGCAATATTACAAATAAATAAATCTTATTTTAATATATAAATTTAGATAAGATAATAGATGATAAATTAAGGAAGAATTCAAATGAGAGAAAATTGAAATTAGTAAATAAATCATTTTTTTTTTTTTTGGTGGGGAGAGGAAGGGGCAAAAAATACATAAATTAAAAGAGAGTAAAAATATTTTTGCATTGTAAAAATATACATTATCACTTATCAATGCATAATAAATACATATTAGACATAAATGTGATAATAAAAATAAGTACAAATAGAAATTACAAATAAAATTTTTATTTTATATTTAAATTTGTTGTAAATTTAACACAAACTTTTGTGTACTATTTAGCCATATAGCAAATAGAAAATTGTGAAAAATTTAAATATTTCAAGAAATTGTTTACTGTATAATCTTTCAAATTAAAAAAAAAAAAAATTAACTAATTAAAACCAAAAATAATTGTTTACATTCATAATTATACAATTTTAGCAAATTTATAAATCTGTAAAATTATTTTAATTTTTTTAATAATATGAAAAAAAAAAAAATTATGCATTGAATGAAATAAAGGGGAAAGAAAGGAAAGCAAAGATGTATCATTTTTTAATGATAAAGAAAAAATAAATGGGAAAAGATTTGTACT